CACACACACACACACACACACACACACACACACACACACACACACACCAAGCCGTGAGATTGGAAATCTTTCGTTGACGCATACACCGGGCGGCTTGTTTATCCAGTTCGTTGGAAAGCCCCCTGGGTTTATGAGTTCGGGAGGTCAGCTCCCCTCAGGCCGGGGGATAATAGGAGAGGGCTACATATCACAACAGAGAGACGCGGCGATAAGATGGCATGCGATAGCTGTTTGTGGCAGTGTGTAGTCTGGCTGCCTGACTAGACACGTATGTTTGCCTGGTTTGTGAAGGCTGAGACTACAATGAAGCAGTGTGTGTGTGTGTGTGTGTGTGTGTGTGTGTACACGCACTCAGGTCCATGCTCTTGGACGCTCTGTTGCGAGGCACGTTGTCCTTGTCGTCTGCATAGAAAGTCGCCGCCGCCTTCTGCTGCTTCTGGAACTCGCTGCAAAAAAGCAACAGCAACAAAAAGGACCATCAATCAATCAATCAATCAATCAATCAATCAATCAATCAATCGATATCTACAACAAAAAACAACTCTTTTCGTGACTTGACGGTGGCATCACCCGAGCAAGAAATCATTAAATTTCCTCCACTCCAGATGGCATGACTCAGCAGAACAATAGCATGTGCTGTCTCTATTAAACTTACAGGGAAACAAGCTTATTGATGCCAGACTCCAACCACATGAGATATTGTACAGACACACACATATTTTCAAACATACTCATTCAGAAGACTATTGGCAGAATTTTACTTTTGTGTGTGTGTGTGTGTGTGTGTGTGCGCAGCAGGATACCAGCAGAAGTATTGCAGCTCTTTCCACGCCTTCTAACTTCTACAGAATTCACTCGATTATGCCACCGCCATAATTTCCTATTCATAATGCAAATAGGCTATTGCAATTAGACTGTATGGTCTAAATAATGCATATGAGCCTTGTAATATTCAGTGTAATGGCTCTTCTTTATCTCATAACACAGCGCCCCATATTAAGAGTGCCATTAGAATATAATAACTCTGGCCCTGCGTGGAGTGTAATAGAGCGCTGATGGTGCAGCGTAGTGGAGATTGTGTGTGTGTGTGTGTGTACCTGTGGCGTGGGAGGGTTAGCGGTAAGTCTCTATTCATTTCCTCCACAGCGTCGGGGGAGGGCAGCGGGTGGAAGCCTTTCTCAAACTCTTCATCGACGTTGCCGTACTGGCCGTGGCTGCCGTTGGCGGTCGCAGCGGGATACAGAGCTGAGGACACAATCAAATAAATAGATGTTTAAAAAAAACACTGATTCTGATGATTAGGGCGGAGTAAAAGTCCAGAAAACACATTTCATTTCTACAAAAAGGGATATTCAAATACAGAGCATTTGTGTGCAAAATGACTAACTGTGCTGTCGGATGGAGAGCTGACAGTCTCCAGCTCCCCGCATCCCAGGGGGTGAGGGAGCGGGAGATAAGGAATTTAAAACACTGTGTTCGTCTTTTTCTTTCTTTTTTTTTTTTTTTTTTTACACGACAGCACGCATGCTGGCACAACACCCGCTATGCAAATCCGGCCCACTTAGAAGCCGTTTCAACAGCGTAATGATTCCAAGGTCAGATCTTTTTGCACATGAAAAGCCAGCGTGGCGTTCGTCAAAAGGAAACACGGTTAATGACTCCCCCCCTTTCTCCCGCTATAAATATGCAGGGGAGCGAGTGGAAAGAGATATAAAGACCGCGCTGGTGAGAGATGCGACAACCCTGTAATGCACTGCTATAAGATGCTTAGGGTGGCTGCTGCAGACAACAATGTCTTGGCTGGGTGTCCTGCTGTGCAGCTATGGCACACACACACACACACAGGCTGACAAACGCACTGTGTGCACATACTCAGTAACAGATGACGGGAGCACACGCACACTCAAAGCCTAATGTGGACAAATACACATGCTCACCGCTCCCGGAGTTGCCGTACGCGTAGTCATCGGTCGTCACCGGGGTGGGACTTGCGCGGTTGGCGGTGGGCTCCCTGTTTGGGGGTCTGGAGGGTCCTGAGGGCCCCTGGTATGCATTGTGGCCCCATGGCTCCTGTCAATAAAGAGGCAGATGAAGAGAGATGATGAGAACGCGTATTAAAGGGGCTCACATGCAAAAATATGTGCCGAAGTTGTCGTTCATGAAAGATTGATGATGTTGCCTCACACATCAGAAGATTAAAGTCGTTTTTTTTATTACCCGGTAGGATTGGACTCACGTCCTTTTATTCCTTTCGTTTTTGGCAGATGAGCCAATGTTGCTCACTGCTGGCATGAACATGAGTCAATATTATATTTTGGCACACTTGCACAAAATATCAGCAAAATAGAAGCTGTCAAAAAGGTAGAATTAAAAAAATCTTTGTTTATCCAATACTATCAAACGTCTGAGCAAAGAAAATAAATAATCCTGACTCCTCTTGGGGATAGAGCAACCGCAGTTTAGTCCGACATGAGAAAAAGGAGGATTTTACAATAACGTTGTCGCAGTCGCATCTTGTAACCGATCAATTATCATCCGGCTCAGATGGCGATGTGGGAGCAAAGCTTTCAGGAAACATGAGCCGATTTAGAACAACCCTCTGAGGGTTTTCAATAGACGCGCGGCGTGGGTGATGAAGAAAATATCACAAAGTCGTCAAGATGATCGTAATCGAGAGGGAAATGTGTCATCCATTTGGACAGAAAAAGGGTCTCGTCGCTTGATGGCAACAAGATGTTTAGCAGGGAAAGAAAAAAAAAAAAAAGGCTCACAAGTCAGAAATTGTGCATACGGCACCGTGCCCGAGCATTATTTTGTTAGGATTCGCGACAGGAAGTTAATACTATGTCCGCCCAAAGCAGCAGAATGTAACCGTGTCAACACATCCCTCAACATCTGGCAAGACGAGTTTCTTTACTTTTCATATTCGACACAGAGGAAGCTGACTGTGAATTAGAAGAGTAACATGATTACAAGAAAGCACATACATACACACACACATATATATACACACATACACACACACATATATA